TTTTGATCTATTAAAGCCTAATAATTTAGTAAAGGTGCTATTATTCTGGCCTGTCATGAGTTTGATACCATTGAACCTATATGGTTAAATTTAAAAGACGAAATGTGTTCGAAAGGCTAGTTGTTTAAAATCAGAAGATATGAGAAATAGGTTTGTGGCCAAATATCAATTTTTTTTATTTTATTTTATTTTTTTTTGTATATTTGGTTCCGCCGCAATGTTGGAGCTACTTAACTAAATTTTCCCCAAAAATAGTTTATTAGTTAGATGTCATTTCCATAGTTTCCATATTATCCATCAATAAGATTTGTTACTTTCTAAGGTGAAGAACAATCAGCTTCACAGCTGACGACAGTAATCGACGTATGGTTAATATTTTTCGTGACCAGTTTTTCCAAATGGTTTAATGGTATTTGGACGTTTTGAGGTAACTTGATTGTATGTAAGTATCTGGTTTTTATTGCCAGTTTATATTACAGGTTATATTCTAAGGGCAATTAAAAATCTCCTTACCTCCATATATGTAAACTTTTATTTATATTATTCACAGTAACATTTGACTTCTAATGGAATTCTTTAACGTCTTGCATTTTTTTTTAGCATAACTTGTAATGATCTAAATATATATTTGTGTGCTGTTATAGAATATATAGTCGTATAACTCTATCCAATATTCTGCAGTATAAATATAAAAATGTAGGTAATATAAATATATTGTTGTTGTAAAAACTCAAGTCGTATTAAACATGTGTAATATTTTTCCAAGTTTCTTTCTCTAGATTAAAGATTTTATCCTGATTCCATTTCCTATTGATAAAATATAAATTAACCAGAATATTAAAGTAAATGATGGCGAACTAAACTATAAAGATACATTCATTCACAATTTTAATACTAACCACATTAAATTATTAATTATAATAAAGATTTTGATTAATTTATTCCTGACCAATAAGCAAATTAATCACTATAAAAAAGAATAGAGGTCAAGCCTGCATAATAATAAAGATTTTAAGTTATTATTCATAAAAATAATTTGATGTAAATTTAATTATAAGTACATATGGATGCAAATAGAACTATAGAAACGTGGTCGAAAAGCTTACAGTAAAGTTAAAATGATATCTAAAGCACGATATTTAATATTTTCATGAATTTAATCATATTTTGAATCATCTAAAAAAATTACAGATTGAAACGGAGGTGTGGAGTCAGAAACTTCTAAAACAAATAAATTCCTAAAGGTCAATAAATGCTGTATTAATGAAGAGTAGGTTGAGGATGTAGGTTGTATCATCAAATTTGGCATTTCTTGTTTTAGTTTTCCAGGTAGTTTTCGGGACTAACAGAATCGTAGTGTTCGTTGTGGTAGCCGTATTATGTATTCATTGATTGAATATTTATCTAATAAATAAATATTAACTCATAAATCTTAGTTTTATATTTTTTTTCAAGGGTATATATTATTATATAAAATATATTATTTCGAGGAATATATTTTATAACCTTTATTTACATCATAAAAACTTTATTTAATTTTTGTATTTTGAAGACGTTTCGAACAATTTTGACGATTTCAAATGAAAAAGAATTTTGGATTTTTGGTATAAGGCGTTTTAATTTCAGTTAAATTTAAAAAAATATTTTTTAATTTTCGAGATAAAAAAAAGTGTAATATGGACTGACAGGCAAAAAATTTCACCCACTTATTTTTTCATGTTAAAAATTTTTTCATGTTTTTATCTAAAAATATTTCTGCTTTGGATTGATCTATTGTTTTTAATGAATAAATAGGTAATCTTTTTGTTTGTTTTAAATTAGGAATGTTAATATAGAGGACAATAACCCTTAATCCTTTCTTCAATGAAATGATTCTAGATTTCAATGTTTACTTTCTATGGAATTAAAATGTATATTCAGTATCATTAGTTCATTTGTTGAGAAATATTACAATCTCTCACAATACAATATGTTCACACTCTAAAATAAACAATACAGAAAAATAATAATACTAAAAGTTGATGTATATAAACAAAAGAACTAAATTAACTAATCAATCTTAATCAAACGCATACTTTTATGCAACATAATATAAATCTGATTTATTAATGGTGATATATATATATATATATATATATATATATATATATATATATATATATATATATATATATATACATACATATATATATATATATATATATATATATATATATATATATATATATATATATATAAATATATATATATACTGTTATTTATATTATAGATATCATTTTTTACTTGAAAATATGCAAAATTGCCCGAACGGTCGTCAAAATACAAAAATGAAATAAGGGTTGTAAAATATATTCCTCCAAATAACAAAATTTATTTAATAAATATTTAAATAATTATATTTAGATTTTGTTCGCTTTGAGTTTATATTTCATTCGAATTAGTAAATCCTCCTCCAAAAAAAAAAAATAATTTTAATTTTTTTTAATAATTAAATTATTTATTTTTTCCCTCTAACTTGTAAATTCATAGGAGATAGTGCATTTAATTGTGTTGTAGAATTTCAAAAAATCAATTGTTTTACATCACTTGTTCATCGTCATGTAAATACTCCTTAGACGCTATTTTTTCCCTTTCAGTTGCAGTTTTTTTTTGTTTTTTTTTACTATTGTACACAACATTGAAAGTCCCTGCTAAGATGCCTTATTTCATACTCTTTTCTCGATTATATTACGGCTTTTTTCACTTAGAACGTATTTCCATTGAATTTAAGGAGTATTTGGATGTTATAGCTAAAAACATCTCAGATCTAATTTTTGATGCTTTCGCATGTTGCGTTGAAAAGTTGTTCATATTATATTCTTTCAAAATTTGAAAAAAAATAAAAAGAAAAGAAGAAGTAATTCGTCATCTTCAGCTGGAAGTGTCAATTCTTTTTTTTTTTTTGTTAGTGTTCAGTTTATTTACAACTGATATGTTACGAATCGGGAAATGATTACATTCTGCATATTTGAGCAATTGTTTAATTTTAATTTACAATTTTCAATTGTCTCAAGAAATACTTCTTAGTTACTTTCGTCATTTTAATTACATTTCCTATTTCTTCTTTATTGAATAACGGTTTCCTTAGTATATTTTTTAATTTATATGTAATACTTATTAATTGATGATGTGATGATTATTTCAATTCTAAATGAAGTACGAACGAAGATATTCTTTAAGAAGTAGCGTTTTTGAAGTAAGCCTATCATCCCAACTACGTTTTTGCACACGCATTGTTCGGATAGATTCTGTCAAGTGACTTTTTAAATACACTTCGATATTAAAATCCATAAATTTTTTTTTCGCCTATTGCCATTGATAGCCGTATTTGTTACTTTAATCATACTTACCGGGAATTTTTTTCGCCGGATTCCACAGTTTTATAAATTCTCCCAAAGGCAAATGATTTCACATTGCAAATATTTTTGAAAACATTTTTTTTCAAATACCTTCGAAATTTTCTCTTAAGCAGCTATGTGTAGGATCCGTACGGTAATGTATTAAGTCGGATGGAAACAATAATATATTGCTGTATTGAATTATAATGTTCAGTTTAAAATTGACCAGGCATAGTTTCGTAGATACAGTAGGGGTAATATAGTGAAGCTTCTATATTTATTCATGGTTATGATTACTTATTTCACCGTAATTATTTTCGTTTGAATTATTAAAAACGTATAATTTTTTTGGAGGATGGATTTATTTAAATAGGTAATTCTTTCCCACCATTTATTAGCTTTACTATATTTTATTTTTTTATTTTGTCTTTCTTAATGTCTTATGGTATGAATGTGTTTCACATAGCATTAATACTCAGTACCCTGTGTCAGAATGTATTATTTCTTAGTTAATATATTTCAAATTGCATTTAATTAACTTCTGCATCTTCAACTAAGAGTACTTATCCATCAACCTTTTTTTTTGTTTTTGTTTGGTTGTATTTTTTGTTTTCAAATAAATAATTATTTATTCGACTTCATATTTTTGCATTTTATGAATTTGAGGGCTGTTTATATAGTTTCATTGTCATAAGTAAGGATCGTTAATAATTTGAGTTTTAATCCAAGACTACTGTGGTGCTAGGTAAAATATGGGATTCCTAAAAAATATTAAGTGTATTCATGCACTTGTTTTAAATGCTTAATTTGCTATCATGCTAAAGCAGTCTGCACACATTCTAAATGAATAGAATATAACCTGTCTGTACCAACGTGCTAAAGTGTTGTTAGCTATAGGAAGGTTATACCTGTACTGTGAACAAAGTTTTTAGTGTGAACAACGTTTTACTTTATTTTTAAAATGCCGGAGTCAAGTAAAAGGACTGACTGACTTTGTTTGATTATTTGGTTAAAAATGCTTTATTTGACAAAACGAATGAATGCTGTCTTTACATTCCATTTTTGTAGATATTGTACACAAATTATTAACAGAGAATCAAACATCAAAACCTTACAATAACCTACTCCGTGGGTTTACGAAATTGGCAACACTTTACAGAACCCTAGGCTGCTTTAAAATCATGAGTGCTAGCCATATTTAATACACATTTCGCAAATAATTTTCTGGACTTTGCAAATTTAAGAGGTTTGCAATACTTAGCACTGATTGCGTGAATACCCCCATTGTACTAAAGTCGAGATTATTTAATTTGCTGACCAATTCGATTGAATTCCAAGCTCATCATTTTTTTAAAATATATTTAAATAAAATTGGCAATTTTCGCATGAACGTGTCTGGTTGCGGAGGTCTGGACACGGATGGGTTTCCCAAACCGAAGTCCCGTGCTCCGTTAACGGGACAGACACCTGATGAAGTTGGTGGGGGGTGGGGGAGAGGTAGTAGGGGGTGAAGGTGGTGGGGTGCAAGTAGGCGGGGCTAGTACGGCGGGCCAGTCGCCCCTGGGTCACCAGCGAGTTCTGTGATCTTAGTTGTGTGTATGTCTTTGCCCTGTTGACATCGTACGAGCTCTACGACACAACTGCCATTCTCACGCTGCACGTTATATTCTATTAGACTATCTCGTCAGTTCAGTGTACTGTGGTTTAGTGTGTCTTGTGTCTACGGTTTATCCGGACCAGGCTGCTACTCATGTTTTATGGTAAGTTGCTCAAATTTCCTTTTGAAAATTATAATCATAATGGGACAACAATTACTATATAATATTATCGATGTTATTTTTATTTGTCATAACTTGCTTAGTTGTATAATAAATTTTAATTGATAAATTTCTCTAATCACGTTCTGACTACAACGAGTTTTAGTACGTCCTTAATTTTCTCTTCACTCAAAATTATATTAAGCTCATTATTGCTTTATAAATTCTACAGATCCAAATATTAAGAATAATATGTATTCATTAAAACAAATGTTTTAAAATAACTTTGATAACACCTTCATGCAGGTAATAAAAATCTAAAAATATTTCTATAATTTTATTTAGACTGTTTTAAACAATTCCTGGTTATTAATTTATTTTTTCAACCCAAGAATATATATGATTATATTAATATATTATACAGAAAATTTTTGTTTTCCCATTATGATATTGTATGCAGAATATTTTTGGTGTACATATATTAAATAATATTTTTGTTTCCACCTGATTTTATATATATATTTACAAAAATCTCCGTGTAGACTTCCTTGTTAGATAAGACGAGTGGATTACACTAGATTCGATTGTTACAAAGAATTTATTTGTTGTGTTATTAATTACCGTATTTTTTTGTTCATCTGTTGTTAAGTCTTATAGAATAATAGAATCAGAAATAAATATTTTATTTTTGATCAGTTTTTTTTTTTTTTTTGTATGATATATAAATGATAATTAAGCAATAACAATTTCTTGTATTAATTATAATTGGATGGTTCTTACAATTTAATTTAGTATTGACTCTGTTGTATTTTATAACAAGTTTTCCGTTTCACATTAGACTTATTTTTCGTTGAAATAATTTCCGTGATCTAGTTTATTATTGTTTGGAAATTATACGTTTTGTCTTTTTCAAATAATTTAATTATAGTTTCTTGTGCCAATGACCTCAAGGTAGAAACTAAGATTTTTGTTGACATTCCTAAAATCAGCTAATTTCCTATCCACACCATACTCAAATAGATTTATTACTTGTGTATTATTGAAACCATTCATAACATTCATTTATAAATAATCGATGCAACATAATTTTTTTTTTTTTTTAATTAATAAATCGAATTTGTTTTGAAGAAGAAAAATTTTACGAAACATGAAAACGTGTAACTATTAAACCCATTTATTATAGAATAATATTTTATATTTTAATTAATTATGTCAGTTTCATATGAACCTTCTAGTTGACAGAATGACTAACTTAAATGTCAACATTTTTGATGAAAGTCATGTTAGTAATATTTCTTGTTGGAAAATTTATAATATCTGTACAGACAGTGAATGAGTTTATTGCAGTGTTTAAATATAGAACTGTGAATAAAGGTGTAAATTTTCCAACTAGAAATATCACTAAAATTAATATTCATAGATGTTGAAATTGGAGTTAGCTCATATAATTGTAGATCTCAGTTATAATATATGCACCAGTTATAATTATGTTACCAAATTATTTGATGTTTGGAACAACATTTTTTTTTTAAAATGGCATAGAAATTTATTTACTATTATTATAGAAATTAAATCATGGATGAAAAAGCATTTATAATTTTGGATTTAGATACTTTTTCCGAATCATATTGGTTATTCTTCAATTATTATCATCAGAAAATGAGGAATCTGAAATTATTCAAAAACACCGCTTTAACATAGTGCGTGTCGATATATATCGTTGATAATCACCGGTTGCCTATTTATTGAATAAATTTACAATTTTTAAGCAATGTGTGAAATTAATAAGTTATATAAAAATATTAAGTTTTTCGTAATGTCAAACTTGTTTTTTATTTTTATGGGGTTTATTACCTTCACTCTGCATTTGCAATTTTCTTATATATGTATTTCTATAATTGTTACTACATGAATTGATGTTTTTTATTTATTGGTAACGTTTAGAAGAAATCAGTCAAACGGTTAGAAAAGTCAAATTGTGTATGCCTTATCTGTAAAATATTTATATGTAGCCAGCCAAAATTTTGGGCTTTATATAGTTCTAATGAGAGTTTTACAACTGTATTAGATTGAATCGAAAATTGGAACCCAGTTTTATGATAGGGGGTATCTTTAAAATAAATGCAAATTCTAAAATTTAATGTAAACAATTTATAGTTTGTATTTTTTAAAGTAAAATCAATTAAAATGTATAGATACATAATTATCTACTGCTGCTTTGCGAAATACTTATATGTAATTTTGTATATACCACGTTGGAGGCCACAAATCAGATGGATAGATAGGATAAAAAAAGATACTGCTGAGGTTCATGCCGCAAACTGGAAAGCAGTAGCCCAAGATAGGCAGAGGTGGAGAAGGCCGGTTCAGGTGGCCAAAGATCTATTAGGTCTGTAGAGCCAACCAAAAAATTTAAATATTTATTTTATTTTTATGTAAATGTCTAAAAAATAATGTACTTTTATTTTATCCAAAACCAAATCTAATGATTTATTTTTCATGATTCAAGTTGAACCATTAAGTAAAATCATCAGAAACAGTTTTGAGTTGAAGCTATAAAGCAAAAATTGACTTTTTCTCCACTTTCTGATAATGAAATATGTCCGTCTTTAATATAAAGGTCATTCATAAATCGCCGGTGCATTTTCGATATTCGAGGTTTACACAATTAACTATGTTTTGGTGAATTTCAACTTTTTTTTTCGTTACATAAACGCTGTGCTGTACTTCTTGCAATCTGGACGTAGGCATCCTTTCGACATGTCCAAGCCTGCTACTTTTGTTTATGACATCAACTATGTCCGCTTCTGGGAATTGTTCTTTTAGCTCAGAGTTGGTTCTTGCTCTGAACCAATCGTCCTCTCGCACAGGACCAAACTTCTTAGAACTCTTTTCCCCCACGCTCTTGGCCTTTTTTCTTTACCTGCTGTCATAACCCAGATGTCACTGCTGTAATTTACTGCAAGCCTAATTATAGTCTTATAAAGCAATACCTTAGCTTTTGTTGAGAGATTTTTATAAACGCTGTCCTTGAAGTGCATGGAAATGACACAAAACGATGGCCTCTTGATCTTCTTACTTAGAACTATTTAGGGAGTGCTGTCATTACTCTCGATTTTCTCATATTTACTAGTTGTATTTATTTACTACAGTTATAAATTTCAATAAATTAAAAAATAAACCATATTCTTATATATTTGCTGTAATGCTTCCATCGATTCGAACCTTAGGTTCCTGCTCTCAATTACCAATCTTGTTCTGTCACGGGCCTCGATATCTCCGATCAACCGCCCCTGCTCCAGAGCGAATGTCCAAGAGCCTGGAAAATTTATCGACCAATTACCGCTTAATCCACTATCGGCAAATTATCTGTTTGGTTAAAGGTTGTGAAAATTTCCGCCCAGCTGTGTCGTCAAGACTTTCTCCAAAGCGCTGACAGATCTGGAAAGGCTATCTCGAAGCTCTGGAGCCGCGCGGTTACAAAACCTGTCCAGGCCACCTGCCGTCTCCCGCCCAGCATTTCAAATATCTATCTTAATTAAAATTTAATATTCTATCCTCTTCTCATCTTATCGATTCTAATCGATAGTGGGAGACTGTCATTATGTTTTTGTTTTTTTAAATGTTTATTATTGTCGTTTTTTTTCTAATATCTCTTATAGTAACTGATTGATTCAAATGGGGAATTAATCCCAACAAGTGGAGGATTTGTCATTCGTTGAATGTTTGATTTTTTTATGCTAAAATTTTTTCTCAGCTCCTGTTCATCAAAGTACATATCACCGTGTATAAAAATAAATCTCTGATCAGATTCCCAGTGCATTTAAGTTTAATCTGAACCATTATAGGCTTATCATTAATGTCATATTTTTTTCCCGAAAACATTGCCAATTTCAGTGATATAGATATCGGGCGAAAATATATTGGAACACTAAAAGTAATTAAGAAGTTTTGGATTATACTATAACCGTAAAAAAGTAAATCTAAGAAAAACAATTAGGAAGAAAAAATAAAATTTACTAGACTCTTGCAACAATTTTTTAAGAAGTTCATTTAAGTCAATCTAAACCACTATAGACGTATTATTAATTTTATAAAAAAAAAAAATTATGAAATGAATGCTAGTTCGAAGTTGTAGGTGGATATAGGGGGAAGCATATTTGAAGAGTTGGAAAAATTAAGAAATATTGGATTATTCCATAACCGGAAAAAAACTAAATCTAATAACAAATTAGGATTAGGCAAAAGGCTCTTACTACTGTTCTTTGAAAACGAACCCTTAAGGTTTTTAAAAATTTGTTGTTCCTCATGAAAGTGCATATTCCTGTAGATAAAAAAACAAATAAAAAATCTGATAAGATTTCTAGTTCGTTTTAAGTTATTCTAAACCTACTATAAACTTTTTATTAATTTCATGATAATAAAAAACAACTTTTTTTGCGAAAAAATTGCCAATTTCAATGTTATAGATAGGTTTGAGCATTCTGATTGAAGCAGAGATATTTGAGCACTTCTAGAAATTTAGGAATTATGGCTTGTACTATAACGAAGAAAAACTAAAGCTAATACGAAATCAGGAATGTAGATAGAATGATATAGAATGAAAAAATAAATCTAAAAATTAAATAAGTATTACATAAAATATTTGTACCAAAGAACGAGTTAAGTGAATAAATACAAATTTCATAAAATATAGAAATAATTCCTTGTTGTTCAGAAATTTAATAACAAGCGATTGAAATGGGCGTGTAAACTTATTGGAACTTTGTAATTAACTAATCCTTAAAAAAATAACTAGTGATAAACCTCCTTCTTAAACATCGAGGGGTTGAACAAGACGTAGATGGGAGGATTACGTTAAATCTTGCATTGGGTGTGGAAATACGTAAACATTGATTGGTGATTATCGGCATCAAACCTTCCGGTTACCAATGCCTTTAATTATTATCATTATTGTTTTTTTTTGCTCATACTTCTCAGATAGGAAAATATATATAATAATG